ATCTGGCCCTGTTTTTCCCCCTCAGCTCTGGCTCTGGCCTGGAGGGGCTGCCCTGGCTCTGGCATCTGTCGGGCAGATGTTGTTGGGGGTGGCAGAGCTGGCGGGGAAAACAATCATAAATCAGATCACAAATGCAATTCTATTACAGCCCTTATGGTTCAGAGGCAGTTAGAGCAGATGGGGAATCCTGGCAGGGGCACTGGGGGCTCCCACAGGAGCCATGGAGTTAGGGGGTGTTTTTTGGGGAGAGTGACCTGTTGGCTGATGTCACTGGGCAGGGGGACAGGGAATGGGGGTGCAGTGAGTTATTGTCCTCGCTGCTCCTTCCTCCTCACACTCAGCCCCTGCCCCAGTGGGGGACAGCTCTCCAAACCCCTCCCGAGTGGCTCTGTCCCACATGCTTCAGTTTGTCACAGCTGAGCCCTTTCCAAGGAGCTCAGTCCTTTGGGAAGAGGCAGCTCCAGCGTGGGTCCCTCAGGGGGACACAAATCCTGCCAAAATCCAGCCCCAAAACCTTCCCATCATCCCAACACAGCCCCAGCCCCAGCTTCTCCTGGTGCTGGCTCCTGTTAAGGAGGACCAGAATCCCCATGCAGCACCCAGCCATGAGACCAGAGCAGTGCCAGCGATGCCCCTGGCAGTGCCCAGAGGTTCACCCCCCTCTGATAAAGCTTTTTTGCTCTCTTCAGCTGGTGAGAAGCTGAATGGCATCGAGCTCAACCCCAGCAGCCAGCAGGAGATGAGGGAAAATGTGGAGAAAGTCTTACAGTTCGTGGCATCAAGAAAGATCCGCATGCACCAGACATCAGCTAAAGGTACCCAGCCCTGGGGGGGGGATTTCAGCTGCTGAGATCCTGTTTCTGGCTTTGTTTTCTATCAAACAGATAATTTATGAATAAATTCATGTGTCAGTTTGTGGGGGAGTTGGGGGTTTTTGCCGCCCCTCTGGTTTAGTGAAAGTTTTGGGTTGAAAAATGGGGAATGCAGAGAAAAAAAAAAAAAAAAGCTATATTTTTCCTGCTGCTGAGCACTCAGAAGCCCAGGTGGTGGTGTAATGAAAAATACAGGCTTGGAATCTTACACCAAAAGAACACATAAACCTGCTAGAGTGAAAGGAGACATGGAAAAAATATTTGTGGTTCACTGGAAGCCATGGGCTGGAAACAGAGAGGAGACACAACGCACAATCACATGTCTGTGGCGTGGTTTAGTCAGGACTTTGAGCAGCTCTGACTAAATTGTTTTGGGAAATCTTGGTCTGGGAGAGTGGCTGATCTTTGCCATGACATCAGTGTGCTGGAAAACACTCGTGTGATCTCACTGAATGTGATTAATTCACATTTGCAGGGCGCTGCAAACGGTTGATGGCACAGGAGAAATGCATTGCTGTTCTACCTTTAGTGTTGTAAAAAAGGGAATTCTCTGCCAATAAAGTCACAGTCCTGAGTAATTGCTCTGCTTCTGAGTGAGCACTCAGTAATTACATGTCCAGCAATTAACTGCTGGAAATGGCCATAAAGGGAGGCTCAGGGCTGTGCTGTGGAGGTGGCAGGCTCTTTGCAGTGCCCTGAGCTGGAACAGCCCTGCTGGCTTTCATTATCTTCATCTCCTGGGGCAGCCCCAGCTCTGCTGGCACCCCACGTTAACCACCCAAACGTTTGCATTTGGCAGATATCGTCGAGGGGAACTTGAAATCCACCATGAGGCTGATCCTGGCCTTGGCTGCTCACTTCAAGCCAGGCTCTGGCAGGGCTGGCAGCCCTGGCTCGGGGGGCAGGAGCTGGGCAGCCCCCCCGGGCAGCCTCCGGCCGCGCTCGGCCGCCGCCGTGGCCCAGGGGGCAGCGGCCGCGCTGGCCGATGTCCGGCAGGATGTCCAGCAGTCCGGACGGGACCTGTTCAGGCACAGACACAGGTGAGGCTCAGGGGGGACCTCATTGCTCTCTACAATTCCTGAAGGGACATTCTAGAGGTCTCCTCATTGCTCTATACAATTCCTGAAGGGACGTTCTGGAGGTCTCCTCACTGCTCTCTACAATTCCTGAAGGGACGTTCTGGAGGTGACCTCATAGCTGCTCTAGAGGTGACCTTGTTGCTCTCTACAGGCTTCCTGAAGGGAGGTTCTAGACGTCTCCTTATTGCTCTCTACAACTTCTTCAAGGGAGGTTCTAGAGATGACTTTATTGCTCTCTACAATTCCTGAAGGGACGTTCTGGAGGTGACCTCATAGCTGCTCTAGAGGTGACCTTGTTGCTCTCGGAGGTTCTAGAGGTGACCCTATTGCTTTCTAAACTTCCTGAAGGGAGGTTCTAGAGGTGACTTCATTGCTGTTCTAGAAGTGACCTCATTGCTCTCTACATCTTCCTGGAGGGAGGTTCTAGAGGTGACCTCATGGCTCTCTGAATCTTCCTGAAGGGTAATTCTAGAGGTGACCCCATTGCTGTTCTAGAAGTGACCTCATTGCTCTCTACATCTTCCTGGAGGGAGGTTCTAGAGGTGACCTCATGGCTCTCTGAATCTTCCTGAAGGGTAATTCTAGAGGTGACCCCATTGCTGTTCTAGAGGTGACCTCATTGCTGTTCTAGAGGTGACCCCATTGCTGTTCTAGAAGTGACCTCATTGCTCTCTACATCTTCCTGAAGGGCAATTCTAGAGGTGATCTCGTTGCTCTCTACACCTCACAGGGGGGCACTGACCTGCTCTGCTGCCCGCCCAGGCTGTTCTCAGCTTTTACAGCAGAACAGCAGCTGGGTCTCTCTTTATCTCCCTGGAACAGAACAGGGAGTCACAGCCCAGGGAGAGGGAACTGTGCTGCCTCCTCCTCCCCACGCTGCCCTTGGTGCTGTCTCCTTGGAGATGTTCTCATGCCATGGGAAACACGAGTCAGGCTTTCACCCCAGAGATCTGGAGCTTTATTTCCAGAGCTGAGGATGTTGTGCAAGTCCTTTCTGGCTCCTCCATTGCTCATCCCACTGCTCCAGATGGCTGCTGAGTCCTGGGGATGCTGAAAATCCACACAAATGGGGAATAATGCTGAAAATCCCATTTGCCCCTTGCCAAAGGTGCTGTGTGGGTGACAATAACAATAATAGCAATGACATTTAGCTGGGAGCCAGGTGCTGGGGCTGTGCAGGGTTTCATTTACACAGCTGAAGGTCATTTGCCCATTTGATACTGGCTCGAGGGAGCACCCATGAAACAGTCTGGAAAGGAGGCTGAAATGGTAACTTTGACTGGAAAATGAAATGTTACATGTTTCCCTTGCAAAGGTCTTAGAGTTCTTCAGGACAGCCAATCCTTGTGATGTTTCCTTGCATTCCCAGAGCTTTTGGAGTTTTGTAGTCACAGAATTAGGGATGAGTTTAAAACAGCAAGGCCTGTTTGCCTGTTTTCCCATAACACCAAGAAGACGGGGATCCCTGGTAGGAAAATTGACATTTTTCCAGCTGTCTCCTCTTCCTTACCTCCTTTTCCTCAGCTCTCCTCCCCTCCTTTTTGGCGAGAGAAGAATTCCAGCAGCACTCAGGTGAGGCTCCCCTCATTTTGTGATTGTCACCCCCAGGAACAGCAGCATGGACGAGGAGATTGAGAATCCCTGCTGGAGCGTGCGGGCGCTGGTGCAGCAGTACGAGGGGCAGCAGCACGTGCCACTGGAGTCCCACCCTGCCAGGTGAGCAATTTTATTGCCTGACGTTGCCTAAAGTGCCTGTTCTCCTCACCAAAATCCTCTCAGTTGTGATGGAAAAGGGCATCCCTGGCTGGTCTGGAGGGTGAAACCTCAGGAATCAACGTGAAGCAGTTTTCTGTGAAAAAAATGCGGCCAGAAAAAAAGGGCTTTTGAATAAAAATTTCTCCAGTGAGGGAGCTGATCCAGCATGGAGAGCTCTGTAGTAAAGGGAAGCCGCTCCCTTTTCCCCCAGAGAAGCAGAAACTACTCAGAAGAGCAAGAGCTGTGTTACTGAACAACTGGAGCTCCCTCTGGAAATGGAGCTGTGCTCCAGTTAATCTCATCTGGAGCAGATCCGAGGCCAGGGCTGCACGTGGGGAGATGCAGCTCTTTGCTTCAGAGCCTCCCACTGCCACCGAAAGCCCCAACTCTGATTTCCCGTGTCCTTCCCCTGCCTGGGCTGTTCCCCCAGTGCCTCTCTCCCGTTTGTGTGGGAGTGAGGAGCTCATTTGCCAAGGACAGATTGCCACTGACAGCCTCTCAGCAGGCAGGACGTTTCCCCAGCGTTTCTCAGGCCAATTTTTACGCTCCACGGCACCAATAATTCTCTGTGTACCTGAAAATTAAGGTTGCTTTGCCCAACAGAGGAGAAAAACACAGGAGTTTGTGTTTATCCCCCAATTCTGCTGCGTGTCATTGGGAGCGTGTTTATAAATAGACTTTTGGAGGAGCGTGGGGCTCGCAGGGAGGCAGTGCTGGAGCAGTGCCTCCACATGATGTCAGCAGTGTGCTTTTGAGGCCGGCCTGCCAGGGGGGATGTAAAAATCCTGCTCTTGGCAGAGGCTTTTCGTGGATAATGCCACAGGACCTTGGCTCTTGAACCGGGAGCTCAGGAGTGCCACATCCTGCTGCCTGCTCTCATCCCTCCGGTTAAGGGAGATGGAATATTTGATGTATTCTTCTACCTCATCAGGTGGCTGCTGTTTCCTCATGTTTTGGTGTTTTGGTGGTAAACAAATATCTCTCTGCGCATCCTGCGTTTCTATTTTATTTTTTCCCCATAACATCATGGATTCTCTGCCCACAATGCAATGGTGATATTATTGCTGGTAGGGCAGAACACAGCGAGAATCTTTCCAAAAGTGATCAAAACCTGGGAGAATTCTTCCCCTCCAGCTGCTGGGGGTGTCTCTGCTGGCACAATTCTGCACGATGAAAACAAGATGCTTTCCCTTTCCTCGCGGGGAGGAATGTGCTTAGCTCAGTTCAGAGAAGTGGCTGGGAGAAACGAGATGCTTTTTTTATTGGTGAGAGACGTTATTGAGTGCAGAGACCCCCTCCAGCCAGCTGAGCTGTCCCAGGGCAGCATCCCCGGCTCCTTGCCCGCTCCGAGCTCTCCCAATTCCCAACGAGCGCAGGCTGCCGAAATGATTCATGGAAAAATTCGCCAAAAATCAGATGATTCCCAGGCTGCCGAGCCCCTCACCCATCCCTCTCCCTTTCCCCTCCCCTTCCAGCAGCGTTCCCTCCCCCACCCCTGAGCCAGGCATCTCGGAGAAAGGCTGTGCCTGCACAGCCCGAGTGACAGCAGGAGGGAGAGGGAGCCGTGCCTGGGGCTGCCAGAGCCTGGGAAGAGCCCGCATCACCCTGGAAGCTGGGAGAGCAGCCTGGGCAGAGCCCGCATCCTCCTAAAGCTGGGAGAGCAGCCTGAGCAGAGCCTGCATCCCCCTAAGACTGGGGAGAGCAGCTTGGGAAGAGCCCGCATCCCTCTGGAATCTGAGAGATCAGCCTGGGCAGAGCGCGCATCCTCCTAAAGCTGGGAGAGCAGCCTGAGCAGAGCCTACCTCCCCCTAAAGCCGGGAAGAGCAGTCTGAGCAGAGCCTACATCTCTCTGGAAGCTGGGAGAGCAGCTTGGGAAGAGCCCAGATCCCTCTGGAATCTCGGAGAGCAGCCTGGGCAGAGCCCGCATCCCCCCGGCAGCGCAGGGACCCCGCGCCGGCAGCCGCTCCATCCTTCCCCCGGCGGCTCCTCGGATGCTAGCAGCACAAGGAGGGCGGCATGGGATGAGAAACACCCCCGGCAAGCCCGGAGCCTTGCGATGAAAACAACCGGCTGTGCAGCTGACCAAAATGCAGCAGCAGGAGACGAATAACCTGCGAGGAAAAGCAGCGGGAGCCAAAGGCAGGCTGCAGAATTCCCCCCGGCTCCGGAATCCAGCCCGTTCGAGGGGGCTGCGGGTTTGCCTCTGAGCCGGCAGAGCCCCTGAGTTGGTTATTTTGTGTGTGTGTGTGTGTTGTTTCTGCTGGGAATCTCCTCGGCACCCCGGCTCGCAGAGTTTGGCCGGAGCTGAGCCCTGGGCGTGTGAAGAAGGGAAGGAGGCATGAGCAGAGCCGGGATCCTGCGGATTCTGTGAGGCCACAGGTTCAAGTGGGATCATGGGAGGGAAGCAGGTCAAATGGTGAGCGATTGTGTCCATTGTCCTCGCGAGCAGCAGGGATGGGTGTTCATTAAAACTCGGGGCATTCAGGGGTTCTTTGCCCTGTGCTGGAGGATCTGGGGCTCGGGGGAGGCAGGATGTGGGTTAAGGAACCAAGCGGTGAAAGTGGAGCAGTTTGCATCATAAATCTCTCTTGGAAAGCTTTCATTTCCCAGCCCTCGTTCCTGCATGCTTTCACAGGGAATTGTTCTGCACTTTTAAAGGCATTGCATCAGCGGCTGTTTCATACTCTGATGGCCCAGGCTGATACAGAACCCGGGCAAGTGTTTGCAGCATTAATTGGGTGATGCAGAAAGCAACCTGACCTGTGCTGCTGCTTCAGCTGCCTCTGGCCCTGCCACTGTTTGCAGTGTTTGGGAGGTGGTAATGGATGCTGGCTGAGCCCTTTTGAAACAGGAAAACTGCCTGGAAAGGGTCTGGGGACGTGGGAATGCCTCAGGAAATGTAAAGCTGTCTGTGCTGGGGGGACCTATCCCCACCTGTGGTGCCTTTTCTTGGCTTTGGGCTGTGGATCCAGTGCTGGGAGATGGATGTGGAATGTTATTTCCAGGCTCCAATCCTTGTTTTTCATCCTGCTCATCCTTTTTGCATCCCCTGTTTCACCACCTTCTCTCCCATCTGTGCCTGCTGGTGTTTTTCTGGGACAGCTTTTGCATGGATGAGAACCAGCAGTGCCTCGGGGTGAGGGCAGGTTCAGAGCATCAGCTGAGAACGGGAGGGAGGGAATTCTGAGAGCTGTTCCTAGAAAGAAGTGAAATCCCTCCTGGAGCTGCTGGCCATGTCAGACCAGCTGGGCTTCCTGCTGGCATCTGTGTTGTGTGAGTTTCATCCTTTCTTCTGGCCCTTGTTACATAATGCAATCCCAGCAGAACTGCCAAATCAAGTCATAAACAGCATTTTAAAAAACCCCAAAAACCATAATTTTATGCCATGCCCCCATTCAGCAATGAGCAGGAGCAGGGGCTGGTTACAAATTTGATATTAAAAATATGTCTAATGAGGGATTGCTGTGATGGATTTGGAATTCCTGGAGGTAAATCCTGGAGCAAAGCCAGGTGGCTGGGAGCCCTTTAAGCATCACGGACACACCTGAAAGGACAGTGCTGTCCCTGTGGGACATTTCTGTTGGACATTGATTATTCTTTCACTTTCACTCAGGGGGAGTCTGAACCACAAAAAACTGGACTCAGGTCTGTAATTTGAATGAGGAGAGGCTGGTCCTGGCCGTGGGAGTGGGGCAGGCAGGAGCAGCAAGTCATTTCCATCTCTATTGCAGGGCTTTTCCCATTCTGTGGGAGCTGTGGGAGACAAGCAGCAGTGCTGGGAAGATGCAGGGAGGGAGCTGCTGAAGCCTCTTCTTTTTCTAAACCTATTATATTATTTCCACACTGTTTTTTCTTTTTGTTCCCTGCCCTTTGTTTCTGTGTTGGGGGAGAATGAAAAATTAACTCCTGCTCACACTTGCAAGGATTAATTCCTGCGACTTTCGGGGTACATTGAATGGGTCAGTGAGCTTCAGCCACCTCTTGATGTTGTCTGGGAGATGCACTTAGGAAGAATTTCTGAGAAAAAGATTGCTTGAACCTCCCAGTCAGCTGAGATGGCTCCTGTGAAAATATGTGGGCACTCCCAAGAAGTTTTAATCGAAGAACACGAGTGAGTGGAATCTGACTCTCAAATATATTGGGATTTAAAGTTGGAATGATTTATCTGAAAGCTCTGGAGCAAGGTGGTTTTTTGTCCAGCATAAGGCTGGCAGTAAATTACTCCTGAGCGTGGTCCTACCCCTGTGGGAGAGTCTGAATTCAAAAAATTACATGTCCAGGCTGGGTTGTTGAAGGTTTCTCTGGGATGCAGATAATTCTTAGATAAAAGTGAATATGGGGAAATGCTTGTTCAAAATTAGTGCTGATCAACATCATCTTCATCATCTAAAAGAGTTGTTCCTGCCTTGCTCTGCAGCCTGACTTCACCCAGCCCTGTCCACAGTGCAAAGAGTGAATTCACTGTAGCCCCCTCGGAGGAGAAGGAGAGGCTTGTGACCCTCCAGACTGAAGAAACAGAGCCCAAACCAGGTAAAACCTTGGGGCTGCTCTGTGTGATAAGAGCTGGAAAGCTCCCCAAGGACTGGAATGATTTCCTGCTGCCTCCAGGGTGTCCTTGGGGCACTGAGGACACTCGCAAAGCCCACAGGTGCTTGTCCCCCTCTGTCACACACTGCCCCCAGTGCTGTGCTTGGAGATCTCCCTGAGCCCTGAGGTGCAGTTGTCTGGGATAAAGTGTGTGTAGGAAAGCTTGGATTGCCTGAGGAAGGAGGCAGGAATGCTGGGGGTCAGGTGAGCTGTGGGGGTGCAGCAGGTCCCTCCAGGGCTGCCAGCAGCACATCCTGCTCCTCTCTCTTGCAGAAGAGGCCGAGGCTCACTTCCAGCCCGAGTGGCAGGCAGGGAGCTCTGGGTCCTGCCTGGAGAACTCATGGGAGGAGCAGCTCCTGGAACAGCAGGACCACCTGGAGAAGGAAATGGAGGAGGCGAAAAAGATGATTTCGGGTTTGCAGGTGAGAGATTTCTCTCCTCAGAGACTGCTCCCTTCCAGGGTCACCCAGCCCTGTGTCAGTCATCCCATGAGCTTGGCTGAACCTTCACATTTGGGACATCCTCCCCACAATTCTTCATTTCTGGGGCCTTTCCCTCCCTTCCCCTCCCTGCCCCTCAGCCTGGTGTGTGTTTGGCTGTGCCTGGGGAACAGAGCCCCTTGATCCATATGGTGAAGGCACTGAACTCTCTCAGGACATCCCTTTCTGTTTGTGCTGGGAACCACAGTGGCTTTGAATTGTAAATATTTATGTGGCAGTAAACAAAGCAGAGATTGTGTGAGGAGCACAGGCAGCTGGGCGGGCACTTTCCCCAGGGACAATGGGCAGGACACAAAAGAGTCACCAAAAACCAAAAAATTCCTTGGTTCACTGGTAAAATCCCTGCATTTTGTGCCCAGTGGGAGCAGGGACAGGAGGGACTGGCACTGCTGCCCCCTCGTCCCCTGGGAGTGGGGAGAGGGAGCTGATGTGGCCAGGCAGGAAATTGCATTTGGTTCATCGATTTTCCTCCTCTTACTCAATAATTGAGAGGCTCCAGATTGTGACAGTTTGGTTGAAATATTGGGGATCTGATGCACACACACCCTATAAGGTGCTAAGCTGAGACTTCACTCCCTGGAAATCTGAATTGTCCTTGTTTGGTTCTTTCTGCGGGGCAGAGCATGGGCTGACAGACCCCTGGGACAGCTTTGTCAGGGGATAAATCTTGTTCATTCCTGAAGAAGGAAAAACCTGATTTTTGAGGGGAATAAATCAGCAGAAATAGGAAATAAAGCTGGTTAGGGCCTGTTGATAGGAGTGACTGCAGGCCAGAACTGCAGCTCACCTATTTCCCTTTGAAATCTCTGAAAAGGAGATTTTTTCTGTTTTCCTCTTTATCCCCCCAGGCTTTGTTGCTCAATGGGTCTTTACCTGAGGATGAGCAGGAAGGGTCCTTTGAACTTTCTGAGCGTGGAGCCTGCCCTGAGGAGCAGCTGGTGAGAACAGCCCTGGACCCAAATTTCCCTGCTGCAGGTGCCTTTTGCCCTGCCCTGCCCCTGCTGCACAATAACAACGCTGATATTTTGCATTCAGATCATCATCCGAAGCCGTCTGGACCAGAGTGTAGAAGAAAATCAAGATCTGAAGGTTAGAGAGTGACAGAGTGAGGGGCAAACAGAGGTTTTGCAGATTGTTCTACTTGATCTTTTAGGGGAAAAGGGAGTGGGGATGAGGCAGGGTGGGCATAATGATGGATAAAATGGGGAATATTCTGTGAGGGCTCCAACTGTGGAGGCTTGGGACCAGTTCTGATGCTGGCAGAAGTGCTTGATGTTAGACAGTAGGACAGATTTGGGGGACTGGGAAATCGTTATTTTCCTCAGGACTTTAATAACAGAGCTTAAGAGCTCAGCTCTTTTTCATATTTGCAACTCATTAAAGTGTCTCAGGCTCCTGGATCTGTGGGAAGAGGTGGGATGTGCTTCCTCCTGCAGAGAAAACACCGGCTCTGCTTGGTTCTGAAGGGGTGACAAGGTGCTGTTTAACCAAATTGTGTTGCATTTACAGAAGGAGCTGCTGAAATACAAACAAGAAGCTCGGAACCTCCAGGGAATAAAGGTAAGGAAAGGGGCATTTCATTAAAAATAAATAGTAGTGCTTTAGGTGAGTAAGGCCAGCAGCAACCTCTGAGGAAGTTCAGATTGGGGAAGGAGTACTGGCGGCTTGGAGGTGGGAGATCCTGTGGTTTATTTCTGAATTTTAGGCAGGTGCGAGGAGCTGGGTTTCCAGTTTTCTGCTCTGTCTGTAAGATTATAGTCAAGTATTCCCCTTTTTCTTTATTTCCCCCTGTTTCTCCTAAACAAAAAGAGGCATAAATTGGCTGGCTGGCTCTTTTATTCCCTCCTCTCTCTTGGAGTACACACCCAGCAGCATTGGCCCAGTGAACTCATTCCTGCCAGCACAGGAAAAAGAGCCTGGGGTGTCCCTGTCCTGCCCTGAAACAGCTCAGTTTGTGCCTCTGGAGTGGTGAACACTGCTGATCTCCTCCTGACAGAGGTATTTTTAGAGCTGCCTGTCAGAAGGGAGCAAACTGCAGTAGCTGTCCAAGGTGCAGCTCTGGGTGAGTGAAAGGTGCAGAATTAGTGCTGACTTTGGCCTCTCCAGAGAGGATTTCACTGCACAACTGGGTCACACTCAGGGCTTAAGGCTCCTCGTGTCCTGAGCTGATCTTGGCCTCTCTGTGCCCTCGGGATGAGTGGCTGGAGCAGGAGCTGCAGGGCTGAACGCCCTCCAGAGCTGTTCCTGTCCATCAGAGCCACTGTTCATCACTTCTGGAGCAGGGAATTTAGGCTGAAGCAGAGAAATCCCTCTGTGCTGGTGGCCAAAAATGTTGGCAGGGAAATCAGATGTCACATGTAGGACATGAAAAACATGATGCAAACATGCTGCTGTTCTCAAGGTAAAGAGGGCTGTTTATTTTCTGACTCCAACATTTATAGATTTCCAAAAGTGACAGTGGATTGGAGGGTGACAGTGCCACCTCTCCAATGACACTGGACAAACCAACAGTCCATCACATTTCTCCTCCTCCATAAAAGAATGCAAAACAATAAGTTATTTACAGAAAGTGTGGGAGAAAGTTCGTTACAAGAATGCAAACATCAGAAGGCTTAGAAAACCTTAAAAAATCAGGGTGACAATGAGTTTTGGGTAAGGGAGAGGCAGGAGGGCTGAGAGCTCTCTGGGGCCCCTGGCAGCACCTCAGCCCTGAGGGTCACAGCGAGTTGTGGCCACTGAGCCCCGGGGAAGGGTCCCTGCCCTCCCTGCCTCCTGCAGACACCACCTCTCCCCAGGACGCTCTGCAGCAGAGGCTGCTCCAGCAGGATGCTTCAGTCCTGCAGCTCAAGCAGGAGCTGCTGAGAGCCAACATGGACAAGGAGGAGCTGCACAACCAGAACGTGAGTGGCTGCTGTGGCTGCTGAGGTTATTTTGGCGGGGGGTTGGTGGCCCCAGGGGTGGCTGCAGCAGAGATTTCGGGGTCGTGGGGTAGTGAACAAGCAGCCAGTGGTCTCTGCACAGCACAGGCTGCTCACAGCCTGCTGGCCAGCTGTGAGGCTGGACATTCCTGACCTTCACTCCCACTTCCTGTCCTCCAGGACCTTCAGCTGGGGCAGGGAGGGGCTTTCCCTGACGTTTTCAGTGCTGTTGCATTTGTCCCTCCTCACTCCCTGGCTTAGTAGGTGGCACCTGCCCTGTGCAGGTCTCTGTCCAAAGGTGCCACCCTAAAGAGCTGCTCCCTTGACCTCTGTAGGTTTCTACTCACCTCAACCAAAGGGCAGAGGTTTTCACTCTCTGGGAATATCTGCCTCACAGCTGGGTGTTGTTCCTGCAGGTTGACCTCCAGAGGAAGGTTGAAGAGAGAAACCGGCTCCTGGCAGAGTACAAAGTAATGGAACCTAGTAATGGAACCTCTTCCATGGGGGTTTGGGTGGTTCTTCAGTTCTGGGAGTGGGATTGCTCTTTCCCTGGCACTTGGACAGCCCCGGGAAGGAGCTGAGGAAGCCAGGGGCTTGTAGTGAGCTGGAGGGATCAGAAGTTCTTTGCATTCCCCCCACAGCTTCTTGCAGATCTTTTATTGTCGTGTTTGGTGATTGCTGAGTGTCCAACACTTGTGCAGATGAGGGTGGGTGACCTGTTTGTCCTCTGATCCCCGGGGAATCTGTGTGCTCTGGGACAGCTGTGTGACCTCAGCAGCAGATCTTTGGCCAAGGGGAGTTTGGGAAATAAAAACCCCATTGATCTTGTCAAAAAAAAGCTCTGACACTCAGCTCTAACATCTGGCAAAGCACACCCTGTGCGAGTCACCTGATCCTGGCAGATGATTTTCCCTGCCACGGGAAGATGACTGAGCTCCCTCCTGCCCTGCTGATTGCCTGGATCCCTGTGTTGCAGAAGGAGCTGTGCCAGAAGGATCGGCACTTGCAGCAGCAGCAGACCAAGCTGGATGAGATGCTCAGGCAGCTTTCCGAGGCCAGCTACCAGCAGGTAGGGAGAGCTGGGCTGCACTGGGAGCTGCTCTGGCTGCCCCAGCTGGTGGTGACACCTCTGCTGCCCCTCCACAGGTGGATTTGGAGCGGGAGCTGGAGCACAAGGAGGCCCTGCTGGCTCACTGCATGAAGAGAGAAGCTGAGGAGGTACGGGAGCCTTGCTCCACACCTGGGGTGGTGTTTGCCCAGCACCCTGCAGGCACCTGTCTCCAGAAAGCCTCCCCTTCATCCCAGAGAGCTCTGGCTCTGCCTTCTCACTGCCAGAGCCCTGACCAAGGCAGGCAAAGCCCCCAGCACGGAGCACTCAGCCTCAGCCTCTTGGCTCAGAATCCTCAGGGATGAAACAGTGAGGGAAGCCAGAGGCTTTCTCAGCTTCCAGCTTCACCTGCAGTGGTTAGACCGCAGCTCAATTTACTTCCTCCTTTTCCTGCTGACCCTGCTATTGAGTCTTTCCACCTTTACGTGAGGAATCAGGTCTGTGCTGTGAGCAGGAACTCACTGCACACTTCTGGGCGTGTTTATCTGGGAGAAGATGGGAGTTTTATCACTGATGTGGAAAGCTCTCATTCCCTCTCATTTTGAAGTCCATAAATGAGGATTTTTGGGGAGGTCCTGACACTCACACATCTTCCCCTGCCCAGGTGATGGCTTTCAGCAGTCACAGTGCCCAGAGCAATGGCTTTCTCCAGCCAGCAGGAAAAGGAGCTGCTCCCACAGCCCACCGAGGGGTAAGTGCCCCTGAGGGCTGCATTCCCAGCCAGATATCCTGGAACTCTTTTATTCCATTCAGAGAGGTTTCCCCTTGCTGGGGAGGCAGCACCGGGCTGGTCTCAGCTGTGCTCTTTTGGGCAGACCAGTGACCTGCAGCTGGTGCGGGACGCCCTCCGCAGCCTCAGGAACAGCTTCAGCGGCCACGACCCGCAGCACCACACCATCGACAGCCTGGAGCAGGGCATCTCCAGCCTCATGGAGCGCCTGCACCGCCTGGAGACGCACAAGAGGCAGGAGAGGAGGGTAAAGGCTCCCCAGGACGCTCAGCTCCTGCCCCAGAGGGCTCTGCCTGGGAGGTGACACTCTGTCCTTGTTGTTTTGGCTTTGCGCCCCAGGTCCGGGGGAAATCACCAGCAAGCAGAGCAACCAACGAGTGCAGAGACTCCTGGCCTCCCAAATCCAGTAAGTGCCTGGCAGATCCTGCCCTTCCACTGCCAAATCCACTGCTCAGTTCCTGGGTGTAGAATCCCCTTGGGAATCTGCCCTCCCCAGGATCCTCCCTGGGTCAGAGCGCCCAGCAAAGGGAAGGGACTCACGTTTATGGCTGGTTTTCTGTAAACAACCATCACAGCGCTGGTCTGGGCCTCTTGGGCAGTGCTGCAGCACAATAACCGTGGCAATCACTGGGAAAAGGGATGTCATCCCAGCTTTCCTGCTGCTGTGCACCATCTAGTGGGGACAGAGGAGTGTTCCCTGCTCAGTGTTTACTGCCTTTCATATCCACAGAACGGTGCAGCCCTTTTAAACATCACATTTCCATGTGTGCAGAGGATTTTCTGCATAAAATGAGCTTTAAATGTATGGAGTTCAGTTCCTCTGTTTCAGCTGCTGGGGGAAGAAGGAAATAAGGCAGGAGCTGGGGAGAGAAACACAAACGGGCAAATTAAAATCCACGCACCACCATCCATCCTGGCCAGCAGGAAGGGGAAGATGGGGAGGGATAATGATGATAAGGGATGATAATCAGCGAGTTGCTGCCTTGCAGAGCTGCCTCACTCTCAGAGCACACCCGTGATGAGCACCAGTGCCTGCACCAAAGTGTTGTACTTCACCGACCGCTCCCTCACCCCCTTCATGGTCAGCATACCAAAGAGGTGAGCCTGGCCCTTCCTGAGCCTCCTGTGCCCCCAAAACCAGCACTCTGATCTCCTGGGAATGCTCCCAGCCAGCACAGGTTTGCTGTGCCTTAACTGGATTTCATGCTGTTGGCTGGGGAAGATTATCTGCAGTAGTCCCTGAGCTCTGGTTTTGTATTTTGGTTTGGCATTTATTTCCCTTGCAGGTTAGGGGAAGTGACTCTGAAGGATTTCAAGGCTGCCATCGATCGGGAAGGAGCCCATCGGTACCACTTCAAAGCCCTGGACCCAGAGTTTGGCACAGTGAAGGAGGAGGTAAAAGTGGGACTGGCCTTTGGGATCAGTGTCACCACACAGCTCTGGAGACCATGGTCACCCCACTTTTAAACTAATGAAATAGTGGATGTTCCCCCAAACAAAGGTGCCTGCTTTCCCAGCTGTGGGTCAAGCTTCTGTTGTGCTAAAATATTTTCATCCTCAGCAAAAGCAACTCCAAGGATGTGGTTGTGACTGCCTGGGAGCTGCAGAGCCTCTTGGGCAAAGCCAGCCCAGGGGACACAGCAAAAATCGAGGTTGCAGGTTTTATAAACCCTATTGCAATGGGAAAGCCTATTCAAAACACAATCTCTTCCTTTCTGAAGAAAGTTTTTCAGAGAGAACTCTGTGTGTGTGGCATCGTTCCCTTTGTGTGCTGCAGTGCAGCCCTGCTCGTGCTCAGGCTGGTGTGGGTGTGGGTTGGATTCATCTCAGGTTATTGGGACAGTTCTTGCTTCACAAATTGATTAGGACAAGGGCAAAAGGTCACCCTCTCTGGGGACAGGCAGCAGCAGCAGCTGGATGTCGTGGTCTGGCTCAGAAAAGGCGTGATCCCTGTCTTTAGTTTACCTTTAATGTCAAAAAAAACAGGCTGATAATAATGCTGATATTCATTGGTTAATGAGGCCTGGTCTGTTATTTACCTAAATTGTGAAAATGTGACTCATACCTCAGCCATCATTGCCATGTGTTCCCTGGATTATTTTGGGAAATCTGAGCTAGGATTTGACTTCATGCCCCTGATGCCACTCACACTGCAGAACCCTCTGTCCAGACCCCAGACATGACTGAAATCCTTTTCTTTTTAAAATTTTTTTTGGGTAGGTGTTCCATGACGACGACATCATTCCTGGCTGGGAGGGGAAAATCGTGGCCTGGGTGGAAGAAGACCACGGGGAGAATTAATGGAGCTTTCAAGCCCTGTTTCTATGGAAACCTGTGACTGTCTGCAGAGCACAGAGAGTGACCAAGGAGCCCAAGTGCTGGGAGGAGGCCAATTCAAGCTGCCAAAAAAGAGCCTCTGTGCCAGCCACGGGTGGTGCAGGCTGTGTGCATGGACAGCTGGCACCTGACTGCCCGTGCCCGAGGGCAGCTGCTGTCCTGAGGCCGCAGGGACAGATCTGTGGGACAGAAAATCCCAGCTTGGCCCTGCCAGCAAAACCCTGGAGGCCTTAAGGATGCTTTGCCCCCTTCTCCTCCATCCCTGCACTGTGTGCTGCAGGCTCAGCTGGGCATCTCCTGTGCTGGTGCCACAGAAAACTGCACTGATGGTGAAAATGTGAAGCTTTGCCTTCATGGAGAAGTTTGCTGGATTGTGGGAGCTGAAGCTGGACCAGCTGCTCTCCTGCAGGAGCAGAGTGACTCTGTGGACATTGCAGGCTGACAGGACCTGTTCTGGGTGGGGGAAGAGCCCTCTGGAGGGTTGATGCATGGTCTGAAGCAAAGCTCACCCACCTGGCCAAGCTCCCTCTCTCCCAAAGTCAGGCTCCCATCTCCCAGCCCTGCTTTCCCCACTTTCCAAAGCTGTTCCCATTTCCGAGGGTTTGCTCTGCAGCTGTGGGGACTGTGGGATCCTGGTGCTTGTTTGCTGCAGGGTTTCATGGGTGGGGAGCTGGAATCAGCTGCTCCCCGAGGTTTTTACACCCCTGTCCTTGCTGAGCCTCTGTCCCTGTGTTCCTGCCCTCTCTGCTGTCACCTCCTGTGCACGGGCATCCTCTGCTGCTGTCCCCCACTGCCAGGGCCACCAAGCACTTATCCACACCAATTCCTTGCTACGCTGAGTCCTGAAGGAACAGGAAAGAACTGCTGGGGGAAGAACAAGCCCTACAATCCCCCAGGGGTGGATTTTTCCCTTTGGTTTTGTGGTTTTGTTTCTCTACATCGCCCGTGGGCTTGGGAGGTCGAATGGGCTCTGCTCCTTCCCAGCTCCTGTGGGCTCTCCATGGACTGTCTGTGTGTGCTGTGGATGAGGCTGGAGAGGGGGCAACCTGGTTTTACTGTTTTATATTAACATGTCCTTTTGTAAACCTGTTCTTGAAATTATTTTGTACCGATTCACATTTGTCTGAGGACTGTGGATATTTTTATACTAGTGCAAGTGCTCTCTGTATATTTCTGCACGCATTATACTGTGTTTTACTCCTTTCCTGGTGGATGCTGAGATGTTTTGTATCGTCTTCTGTTGACACAACACTGGCCTTGTAATTTTACCTTACTGTGGAAATCCAACTGGTTGATACTGGGTTTTATATCAAGGCTCCTACGTGGTTTTGTGCCACATTGGCACAACACAAGCTGCCTCCTGTTCTGGACAATTTGTGTGACTTTCTGCTTACAGTCAGCGGGAGGAAAATTCATCAATGAGCAGGTTAATTAATGGGGGAAATACATCCCTTTGGAAAAGAAACAATGATTTTCTTTCTCCCCTGGACATAGTTTCTCTGTTGCATGGTCTCTAGTGAAGAGGGCATGGGCTTGTGATACTGAGATCAAATGTATTTGAATTGCAAACTTCTCACAGGTGTTTCATTCTTTGGGTTTTACTCATCGGTTTTATTTCAGCAACAGCCACACACCAGGGCTGGAGTTTCATGGAGCAAATTTTGAAGCTTTTCAAGGTCTGTAGTTGGCCAGTCTCACGTCCTTCTCTGCCATCCAGAGGAGCAGTTCGCTTTGGGAGGTTCCTCCCTCATAAAAGCAAAAAAGTGTCACCTTTAAATGAGTTTTAACTCTGGCTCCAGAGATTCTGCTACAAGATCAAGTTACAAGTATAAGAAAGGAAAGTAACTCTGAGGAAATTGTGCAGAAATAAACCAATTGTAAGCAGTGAAACAGACGAGCCCGGGCTACGGCAGTGAGAGCACACCTCCGAGCAAACCCACCCTCCGTGCAAACAACTTCTTGCTTAGCTTGAGGTGGAACTCGGCACGTTTACCTCATGCCCTGTGGCACTGAGGGAGCCCGGCCTGTCCCCTGACACCCCGGGTGTATTTACGCGTCCTGCCCCATCCACAGCCCCTCCTCGGGCCCAGCCTGAGGCCGTTCCCAGGAGCAGAGCCCAGCCCCGGCTGTCCCCTCCTCAGGGGAGCTGTGCAGACCCACACCCCGATTTCCCCCGGCCGAGCCCTTCCCGGCCCGCCGCTGCGGGCGGGGCGGCGCTGAGGCGGCGCTGAGGCGGGCCCGCTCCCGCCCGCCGCCGCTTTACGGCCGCCCAGTGTCGCGCCGCGCCGCCCGCACGGAGGTCACCGAGCGCCGCCGGCCCCGGTCCGCCCGGCCCAGCCCGGCTGCAGCCCAGCCCCAGCATGGAAGGTGAGAGTGACCCCCGGAGCGTGCCCCGCCTGTCCCCCGTGTCCCCTCGCTGCCCCTTCGCTTTCCCCTTCGCTTTCCCCCTCGCTTTCCCCCTCGCTTTTTTCTTCACGTTCACCCCCGCTTTCCCCTTCGTTTTCCCCTTCCCTTTCTTCTTCGCTTTCCCCCTTGTTGCCCCTTCGCTTTCCCCTCTGCTTTCCCCGTCCCTGCCCCTTCCTTTCCCCCCTCCACGTTTCCCGTCCCGCCCCGCCCGGCTCATTTTGCCCCGGGGATTGAGTTATAGGATCCTTTAGGATCAGCCAGCAGTGCCGCTGGAGCCCCCCACTCCCGCGGCTCTTAGACCCCCCCCGGGGATGGGGACTCCACTGCCTCTCTGGGAAATCCTGGTCCAACGCCTGGCCGCCCAAACTGAGAGAAAATCGGTGGTTTTTGTGTTTTTGGCACCCCTTAGGCTCAAGCCCCTGGGTGGCTGTGGGTGCTCTGCCCTTTATCCCGGCACCGCTGTTGGTCCTTGGCAGAGCCAGGGGAGACCCTGGCTCTCTGTAACCCTTTCTTGGGAGAACCACGGTGTTAAGGGGTTGGTGTGGACCTTAAAGCCATGTGCAGGGACACCTTCCACTGTCCCAGGTTGCTCCAAGCCCCACCCAGGCTGACCTTGAACACTTCCAGGGATGGGGCAAGCACAGCCTCAGCCCTCAGCACCCAGTGTGGCTTTGCCAGGGTTCTTCACCAGCAGCTTGGGGCAGTCCTGGGATTTGCAGCAGATCTGTGCCCCACATCCAGGCTGAGCTGAGGATTTGTCTCTGTCCCATGTGTGCTTCCTGCTGCTGGATCTGTCTGGGCTGTGACACTGCCCTGTCCCTCACAGGTGGCCCTGCCAGCGCTGTCCCCCACGATGCAGATGGGCACCATCGCTCGCTGGGAGAAGAAGGAGGGGGACAAGATCAATGAAGGGGATCTCATAGCAGAGGTATCCTGGGGACGAGGCTGGGCTGGTCTCTCTTGAGCTGCACCCCTGGCCTGGGGGCTGTTCCTGGGTGAGGGCAGATTTTGGATCCCAGATCCCAAGGGGTGCTGGTGGGAAGGAGTGGCTGCCAGCCTCTCAGAGCTGCTTTGAGGGCAGACTTCCCCAGAGCTGCTGCCTCAGGGTGATTTTTCCAGAACTGTGACTCTACAACAGACTGGGAGGCTCTGGGCTCACCATTTGCTGTTCTCTCTCAAAGGTGGAGACAGACAAAGCTACAGTTGGCTTTGAGAGCCTGGAGGAATGTTACCTGGCCAAGATCCTGGTGCCTGAAGGAACAAGGGATGTTCCTATTGGGGCAGTAATATGTATCACAGTAGAAAAGTATGTATTTTCCTAACCCTTGATATGAATTTCCCCTCTTGGGGCTTCTGGGGTGCCTTGAGTGAAAGACTGAGACCATCACCTGATGGGCTTTGGGGCTCTGTGTGTTCTTCTAGGCCTGAATATATTGATGCCTTCAAAAATTACACCCTGGATTCTGCTGCAGCTGCTGCCCCTGCAGCCTCAGTGCCTCCCCCTCCAGCTGCAGCCCCCTGCCCACCACCTCAGCCTTCTCCTCAGGCCCCTGGCAGCTCTTACCCTCCTCACATGCAGGTAAGAGAGCACTGCTCCTGCTTTAAGGCTTCTTGCACTCTTTTTCTGCCCCTGGCATTGCTACCTGTGGGGCATTTAGTCATAGAAACTGTCTGGGATGGGAATTTATTAACTGTGCCACTTCAGTTGTGGTGTGCTTAGAGCAGGTGTTGGGGGACATCCCAGAAAACTTTTTTTAATAAATTTATTTCAGCATCCCAGCTGCTGGTGGAGGAGAGACTTGTTCCTCCAGGGTTGTTGTCTTGAAAAATGTGCTAAATCTGCATTATTTGGGCAGTTGTGGTATAAAAAAACCTTGTGCTTAGTGTGAGTAAGCTCTGCTCATATCTCAGGGCAGAACTCCAGCCTGTGGTGCTCTGGTGACCACACCAGATGTGTCTGTGGGTGACTAATAATGAATTGTGTTTGTGGGTATAACCTTTTTGCTTTGCTTGGGTTTTGAAGTGTATCCACTGATGGATTTGAGCACTTTTTACAGGGGGTTGCTTTGACACCCCTTTGAAAAAGAAAATCTGGAATATTGAGCCCCATCCCACAGATAAAGCATGTGGGAACTAATTTTGTGAGATATTACTCAAAGTCAGTAATAAAAGAATTCATGAATGGCTTCTGAATTTGTGTTTTGGCTACTAAAGTTGCTTTCTTCCCTCTGCTTGCCCCCTGTGCCCAGTTTTGCTCCCCATGTGTGTGTCACAGTGACAAAGTGACTTGCTGCAGCCCTCCTTAGCCTTGCAGGGTGATGGCAGTGATGATTATTTTGATTTATCCATTTCTTGCCCTCTGCTCTTGCTTGCTCTCCTGCTCAGGCCTTGCTAAAAGAAGCCAAAGCAGCACAGTGGGACAGCTCTGCTTGGCTGTCATGGAGCCAGACCTAGGAGTGCATTAAAGCTGCTTCTTTAGGTTGGCATCATTTCTCAGGAGTTCAGACTGTGTTCCTGAGCCCTGTGCAGGAGCAGGATGTGACTGTGTGCTGTGTTCTGTGCCTTCCCAGATCACCCTGCCTGCTCTGTCACCCACCATGACAATGGGCACAGTGCAGAGGTGGGAGAAGAAGGTTGGGGAGAAGCTGAGTGAGGGAGACTTGCTGGCTGAGATCGAGACAGATAAAGCCACAATCGGTGAGTGCCCTTGGAAGGGTCCTGAGCAGCCTCTGCCAGCTCCTCTGGTGCTGTGGGACAGGTTTTGTTAACATCTCATTGCACTGGAGAGCTCCTAAAAACGCTTTGATTTCCTCATCAGTCCTTCTTAGCAAGCGCTAAGAGGTTCCCTGCTGGAAAGGATCCTCCTGCTTCAGCTGCCCGTCTCCAGCAGCAGCACTGGGAGCAGCTCTTCAGCTCCTCAGTGTTGTTTCTCTCCCCTGCAGGCTTTGAAGTGCAGGAGGAAGGCTACCTGGCCAAGATCTTGGTGCCTGAAGGAACAAGAGATGTGCCCTTAGGAACCCCTCTGTGCATCATTGTGGAGAAGGAGGCTGATATCCCAGCCTTTGCTGACTACCAGGCTGCTGCAGTCACTGACATGAAGGCCCCAGCTCCTCCTCCTCCTCCTCCTCCACAGGTAAGGAGAAGCCATGGGCACCACTGACAAGCCTGACCTGAGCTGTTGTTGACAGTGTGAAGGCCAGGCTTCAGCAGGAGTGTTCTGATTTGTGAGTGCAAGGCTGATCCGTGTGCTGAGAAGTGATCACTAATTTGCCCTCCAAGACCTGCAGCAGGTTTCATTCATTCTGATCTTTTTCCCAGCTTGTTGCTTGTGCCAGTTCTGATTCCCCATCCTTGAAAATGGGGGAGCATAAGTTCTATAAGTTCTATTTTATAAGTTCTATAAGTTCTATTTTATTCTCCAAGACCTGCAGCAGGTTTCATTCATTCTGATCTTTTTCCCAGCTTGTTGCTTGTGCCAGTTCTGATTCCCCATCCTTGAAAATGGGGGGGGCATAAGTTCTATAAGTTCTTGATTTTTATGTGGTGTATAGCTCAGCTGACCTCCTTGCCAGTGAGTTTCTGATTTAATTTCTGGGAGCCTGTGTGCACATGAGTCATTATCTCTTGATTGATAATTAGATGGGCCACTTCTCTTGCTGTGGGTTCCACTGATGGCTTTGATTCTTTGTTAAGGTGATGGCAACTCCTGCAGCTGCTCCTCCTCCTCCCCAGCCTGCTGCTGCCCCTGCTCCAGCTGCCCCCTCAGCAGGGCCACCCCGCAAAGGAGGAAGGGTTGT